AACAACCTTCCAAGTTGGAATCAGGAAGAAACTGAAAACATGAACCAATCAATTCCATGCAAGGAAATTGAAACAGTAATCCAAAGTTTCCCCCAAAATAATCCAGATGGTTTCACTAGTGAATTCTCCCTGACCTTCAAAGATGAACCTGTCCTTCCAAACTCTTCCAAAAAATTGAGGGAGAAAAAGTTCTTCCAAAGACATTTTAGGAGGCCAACTTTGATACCAAAAACAAAAGACATAGAAAAAAGAAAGCTACAGACAATATCCTTGATGAAAACAGTTGTAAAACTCAACCAAAATCTTAGCAAACCAGGGCTGCCCTGGTGTTAAAGTCTCAGTGCTATCAAGCTATCAGCCACTGCAACATGAGTTAGATCTCTGGCCAGGGAGCTGACCCACATGGTGCAGCAGACCTCTTCTGTCTCCCCTCTGCTTCCCTCAGCAGCGTATTTCAGTAGATTGGCCTGTTCTGCTCCTGACTCTATCTCTGGTAAATCTTCTCACACGCCCCCCCACCCCCACCCCGTACCTCTGGCCTACACCCCAGTTCTTGTATGCATAAATAAATAAAATTAATCTTAAAAACAAAACCAAAATCTTAGCAAACCAAATTCAGCAGTGCATTAAAGTATCATATGTTATGATCAAGTGAGATTTATTCCAAGGATTCAAGGTTGCTTCAACATCTGTTATTCAATGCAGTTTACCACATCAACAAAATGAAAGTAAAAAAAATGCGATCATATCAATAGATGCAGAAGAAACATTTGATAAGATTCAACATCCATTTATGACAAATTTCACAAAATGGGGATAGCAGGAACACACCGCAACATAACAAAGATCATATATGACAAACCCACAGCTCACATATACTCAATGGTAAAAAACTGGAAGCTTTTCCTGTAAGATCAGGTAGAAGAGAACTATGTCCCTGGTACCACTACTATTCAACAAAGAATTGGAGGTTCTGAAGAGAGCAGTTAGGCAAGAGAAAGATACAAAAGGAATTGAGAAAGCAGTAGTAAATCTACCACTATTTGCATATCACATAATATTATGCAAAAGCAATTCTAAAGATGTCACTAAAGAATTATTAGAAACAATACTTCAGTGCAGTGAAGTGGCAGGCTACGAAATCAACTTACAAAAAGTGTGAGTAGAATTACATGTTAATTAATTTCTGGATTTATTTGTGTAAGTGTTGTTATGTGCAACTGCATACTCATTAAAAATATATGGTATTTTGTCATGATCTTTTATAGTTTATATTAAAATTGAATCTGTTCACTTTACCATTGATTTCTTATAGATTGCATTTCCTTGGTGACATCTAAAGGTGGTCATATTTTAGTTGATATACACTTTTTGTTTGACATTTTTTTACAACAATATGTTTTCATTCTGTAGGGATTTTAAAATGTTTAGTTTAAATCAGTGATGTCTTGATCTTTTTCAGTCAATGGCACTGGTCTATTGAATATCCATGTAGAAAAAAGGGCCTTTAACTACTACTTTATCTAGTATATAATAATTATTTCAGATGGGTTACAAACCAAAATGTGAAAGTTGAAACAGTAAAGCTTCTAGAAGAATACATGGAATAATGTCTCCATGACTTCGGACTAGGCAGAAATTTCTTAAATAGGACACAAGACACCAAGCACAAGTGAAAAGATTTATAAATTGGATTCCATTAATACGAGATGTTAGTATCATAATAAGACACCAATAAAGCAGAGAAAATTTAAGCTGCAGATTGAGAGAAGTATTTGTCAATTATATATGTGAAACCTAGAAAGATATATTTCTTTGTATGTGTTTATCTGCTCAAGGACTTTGTAAACTACAAGTTAATTGGAAAAAGACTACCTAATTAAAAAATGGGCAATAAGAGGTACTTTTCAAAGATGATATTTAGATGACCAATTTATATATGAAATGGCTCTCAATATCAGTAATCACAAGCGAAATGCAAATTAAAACTGCTATACCTAGATCAGAATGGCTAAACTGAAAGGACTCAAAGCTCAAATATTGGTGAGGTTATAAATAGAGCAATTAGAGCATTCTTCCATTGCAAATGAGCATCAGTTAGTGGAGTCACTTTGACAAGCACACTATTGCCGGGTGGTGGACACACATAAGCCCTACAGAGCAGCAGCTCTCCTCTCTAGTAGTCACTCAACACTTTTGAGTGCTTGTGTGTGACAAAGGACAGGTACAAGAATATCCATATTGACTTTATACCTAATAGCCAAGAAATCACTCTATCAGGAGTATATATTATTTATAAAATCATCTAACTTGTATGACTCATATGCATATAATTTATCATGCAGCAATGCAAAGAAGGAAATACTATTACACACAATATCATGGATGAATCTCATTGAGTTAATATTGAATGGAAGGAGACTAAGACAAAAGAAGAGCTGCTTTGTGACTTTATATGATTTATGGTAAAAGAGCCAGGAAAATGGTTTCTTTGGGGGTGCTACTGACTGGCAGAGGAGTAATCTGGGATGCTGGAAATGTTCAGTACCTTAATTTGGTGGTGAACACAGGTCTATGTAACAATTTATTAAACTCTGCAGCTACAAGTTAGTATTTGCATGCTATAAGTTAAGACCTCAGTAAGAGTGTTTTTTTAAAAACTCCAATTCAATCTTTACATTCTGATTTAAGGTTCTGTCATTATATAAGAAATTCTTAACATATTAGGACCTTTTTCTAGATTTTGCATTCCTTTCCATTCGCGGTTTTGCAGATATACTATTCTGACATCACTGGTTGCCTCTTAGTTCATGTAACATTTAGTGATACCTTTTTTTACTAACCCTATTCCAAAAAATATCTTATTCTTAATTCGTTATTACAATCTTTAGAATCAAATAACCTAACTCCCATACCCTCATGCCATTGGAATTTTTATTGTGATTATATGAAACTAGTAATATAAATTTTGAGATCACTGGCATCTGGGCAGTTAAGGAACATCATGTGTTTCTCTATTTCCTTCTAGTATTGCACTTGTCTCCATGCAGATCCTCCAGGTTGTTTTTATTTTGGCACATTTTTGTTTTGCTGTTTTGAATGTGAACTTCTTTTGAATGTGAACATTTATGCTCCTTGATCTTAAATCCTTGGCATTATTGTAACTTGTTAACCATGTTAATAATAGATATTTATGAAAACTGTTGTAAATAATGTATTTACTTTTTACAGTCTATTTACTTCTTACCCTATAAGGTAAATACCATCACATCATGCTGATTTTTATATTGTGGGGTCACTGAGGGATAAAATTCTAAGGCTCAAAGCTGGTTTGTGGTAGTTATGATTCTAACCCAGGCAGTCATGCTTCAGAGCTATACTGCCTAAAAATACTGCACCGTGGGCCTCGGTGTACTCCTCTGCGGGAGGAAAGACATGTGGAAGGGCAAGTGTGAGGTCACATCTAATGGATGAGTCATAAGTAGTAATTGTACACATATCAGCCAGACCTGTCGTAAGGTTGACTTTCAGGTCATTGCTCATTTATATTTGTAGGATACAGTATTCTAGTTTAGATTTCCTCAAGCCAAATAAGTTCCTACAAATTTTTAAAATTTATTAAAAAGATTTAATGATAGTTTTATATGTTCTCATGGTGGGAATAAACTGCTTTGTTTACCAAATGGTGAAAGCTGTTGTTTTAGTTGTCCTCATTGTTGGTAAGCAACTACTGTTCATCTCTAGTAGAAACAGGGAGGTGTAGTGTAAAGGTACACATGGCAGTAATAATAATTAGTATAATCTGTGGATATCTAACAGGTGGATACATCGACGGGCTGGCACTTGGGGAGACAAAAACTGTTCATTTCTGAATCAAAATCAGGTTTTTTTTTTTTTAAGATTTATTTATTTATATGCAAGAGCTGGGGTACAGGCCAGAGGGGTGGGAGGGCGGGAGGATTCACCAGACACAGAGCGGGGAACAGAGCTGGCAGATGGACCAAAACAGACTGCTGAGGGGAGCAGTGGGCAAGACAGGAGAGGTCTGCTGCACTATGTGGGAATCTCCCTGGCTGGCCAGGAATTGAACCCGCGCTGCACTGCAGCGCAGACAGCTTCACAGCGCTGCGCTCAACCCATTGCACCACCGCGGAGGCCCATCAAAATCAGTTTTAGGTGCCAGCAGCTAGAGTTTTTAGATCTACACTGCACTATGCTACCTTTATCTTGCCTCAGACTGCTGCTGACTCTACTATCTATTTTGTGTTTGTTTTTAGTCCTTCCATTTGCTTTTATAGTGCCAACTTGTTTTCCTCACGGTCTCAGGTCTCTCTGAGAAAGAGTATCTGTGCTACAGTTACTTTACTTATTTCTGGCCGGGAAGGAATGACCGGTTATGTAAAACATGATGCTTAGGTGTAGGGCCTTCGAATTGATCAGCCTATACTCTGGTTAATGAGTTTATTAGTAGCCACTGCACTGTACCTTTTAAATGTAAAGTGACTAGCGTTATAAACAGCAGTTCAGTGTAGAGGCTGAATAGGGCAGAAAGGGAAATATTAAAGAGAACATTTGTATATACAACGTGATAATAGTCTTTTGCTTATTGCTTATAAGCCTGACAACAAGTAAACTTAGAGGTCTTGGAGGCAGCTTGACTGAAATGTTAAACAAGGACTGTTATGATCTGGATGAGTGACTGATATATTTTAGGGATGTTTTCCCTCTTGATATCTTCATATCTAAGTTAATTTAACGATATTTAAAAAGAAGTTTTTGAGAATTTACAAACCTCAAATTTATCAAACTCCTAAGAATATTTTTTGGTATATGTGTTACTGATGCAAGATCAGTGCTAAATTTAGGATATTACCGTGAGATGCTTATTACAACACTAAAAAGTTTGTTGTAAAATCAGAAAGTGAAGTAATGTATTCAATATATGTGGGTATTGGCAATAAAATGTAATATTATGTAAATACTTGTTAAATTGGCTTTAGGTTGGGCCATGCAGGCTGCTGCCTATATCTTCATTCATCGAAAATGGAAGGATGACAAGAGCCACTTTGAAGACATGATTGATTATTTTTGTGATACTCGTGAACCACTTCAACTCCTGATATTCCCAGAAGGGACTGATCTCACAGGTAAAGTTGCCTGGGTGTGAATCGCAGAATTTTAAACATGACAAAATTTAGAAATTATCTAGTCTGAGCTTCTTATTCCTCAGATGAAGTAACTGAGCCCCCAGAAGGCTAATGGCTGAGCCCCTAAGGTCACTAAGTTAACAGCGTGTCAGAACCCAAAACTCTTGACTTCCTGCCCTTAGATTTACAATGGGCAGCCCCAACAGGTCATTATTATAGCACTTGCCATGGAGCTTTATATTTTAAATGTCAGCATATTATTTTAAATCACAGCCATTTACTTTTACATAAACCTAGTTTTAAAATCCTCTTGCTATTTTATGTATTCTCTGTCCTCTTCCAGGATACATGTTTATTCATTGTATCCTTTTTTCCTCAGCTTCTTTTTTATGATAAAAGGAGCTGATACTAACCAATTTCATTTATCATTGATTTAATATGTTGCCTCTCTCTTGGTATTTTAAAGCTTTATCCCTATTATAAGAAGGAAAGACTTTGTCCTTTCCTTAAGAAAATTAAACTTGTGGGCCTCCCCAGTAGCGCAGCGGTTGAGCTTTGGATTGCGAAGCTGCCCGAAGCCTCCCCCGAGCCGGTTCGATCCTCGGCTGCTCCCCGGCCACCGGAGGGTCCCACAAGGCGCGCAGACCTCTCCTGCCGCCCGCTGCTCCCCTCAGCAATGTCCTTCTGCCTGCTCTGCTCCCCGCTCTGGCTCTGGTGAATTCTCTCACCCTCCCGCGCTTCTTAATGTACCCAGTGCTTGTATAAATAAATAAATAAATCTTTAAAAAAAGAGAGAGAAAATTAAACTTGTCGTTGAGTTGTGGAAGGGACGCTGGAGGATAGATTTAGGACTTTTCTTCCCAGGTATCAAACTACATAGACAGAATATTGGTGGGTTTCAAGGGATTCTTTTAAAGATGGAAAACAAAATACAACCTTTCCTCTTTACTGAGTCAATGGTTTTCAAATACTTTAAAACAAGATTGGTCATTTTTGCAGATGAAACCTTGTATTGCAGTTTAGGATTTAAACAGAGAGGAACTGCTCTGGTTGAGTCCTGGGGTGATGGTGATGGTGGTGGTTTAAGCTTGGACAGGGAACAGTTTTATAAAATCATGTGACTCAAAAGGGCAAAATTAAAAAAAATTTAATGTCCTGGTTACTTCAAGAAAGATACAACAGAATTTGAGGATTCAGTGGATGAAGGTCTGATGTGTAAGGGAAGACAGTGAAGCAGGCTAGAACTGAAATTTAAAAATGACAAATAGTATGGAGAGATGGAACATGAACTTGTCTTCCACATCCTCTCTACCAGATTAAGGCAACTAAGCTACTAAGAAGGGCAACTCCAAGAGCTTTGGAGAGGAAAACATGTAAATGCACGTATGGATTCATTCTGTGACTATAGTAGTTTATGGAACCCGGTACCCAAAAAAAAGTTCAAAATGAAAATACAAATTCACAACTGTTAAAGTAAGTGAATGAGTGACTAAGCTACATGTGTATAGGGGAAATTAAGGTATTATGGGAAATAATGACCAAGGGAGAGATCTTTGACTCATGTGTTGCAGATGGAACTGAGCTAAATGAACCATGGCATATCTTACATAGTAATATATATGAAAATATATATTTTCATACAGTGAGTATTCACTGTATGTCAATTTTTATCATTAAAATTCTGAAAGTGGTTGGATCTCAGAGGATAATTCTATCTATACTATTGACTGCTTGTTTTTTAAGTTTGAAAATATATTTTAAGTTGATTTCCAGAGCTGAACTGTCATTATAAGGTATAATGGATAGACAGATGGTCATCTTAATTTTACAATACTTGAATGTATAATACTTATATTTGGGTTATGAAAAAGCACCTGTATCAGAGTGTCATTACTGAAATGATAGGTTGATTGATATATGTCAACTAACAAAAGGTAATTGGAAGTTATTTAGTAATTAAAATTAATGGAAAAAATGTCATATATTGCTGCTACATTGGTATATTACTGTTAAAATGTTCATGCATTAGATCTTCAGAGCCTATAAAAAAATACATTTAAAACTTCATCCAGTTTGTTTTTTCTCCTGTCTTTTTAAGGTGATAAACCTCAACACCCAGTTGCATACCTTGAGAGCCCAGAATATTCCTCTTTCCATCATTTAGTTGCATATTTCTAAATGAAAGTGGTATTTACATTTTTGGGCCATCTTGCAAGAGCCAGACTATTTGTCAAGTAGAGAAAACAGACTGATCATGTAGCAGATAGTAGTGAGTTAGGATAGATTATTATATTTTTAAATTAGGTTAGCAAAATATCTGCGATTTTGAAAAAGTGTGTGAATTTAAAGCTTTTCTTAGTTAACTTTAAACTTGGGTTTTTAAGCGAAGGAGAATATAATCTATTAATTTGTTAATCCAGCTGGTTTTGTCCATTTAGTTGTAACTACATATATTCTATATATATTAATGTTGCTTATAACTTTACTGCTTATGGAAGTAATATATATTGGGCTGTCGGAAAAGTCATGATGTATTTTTGTTTGAAAAAACAGAAAAAAATAGGTCATGACTTTTTTTTCTTTAATTTTCTTTAAATTTTATTTTTATATTCCCCATACAATTACAACCCCCTTATTTTGACCCCAATCCCTCCTTTCCCCGCCCCCCACCCGCCATAGAGTGTCTCTGGTTCATAGTTGTTTGTTGATTTTGATATTTTCTTTCTTACAGTTATTCTTTTTCCTGGTCCCTTATTTAAGTTTTCTAGATTCCTGCTATGAGTGAGACCATCCGGTATTTTTCTTTTTCTTTCTGGCTTATTTCGCTGAGCATGATCCCTTCCAGCGCCATCCATGTTGCTGCAAATTGCATGTGTTTATCTTTTTTGAATGCTGAGTAATATTCCATGGTGTATATGGACCACATCTTCTTGATCCAGTCATCTATTTTTGGGCATTTGGGTTGTTTCCAAAGCTTAGCTATTGTAAATAGTGCTGCTATAAACATAGGGATGCAGGTGCTCTTTGGAATTGATGTTTCTGTGTCCTTTGGGTAAATACCTAGGAGTGGAATTGCTGGATCACATGGAAGCTCTATGTTTAGTAGGTCAAGAAATCTCCACACAGCTCTCCATAGTGGTTGGACCAGTTTGCACTCCCACCAGCAGTGCAGGAGAGTTCCTTTTTCTCCACAGCCTCGCCAACATTTATCGTTGCTAGTTTTTTTAATATGTGCCATTCTCACTGGTGTAAGATGGTACCTCATTGTAGTTTTGATTTGCATTTCCCTGATTACAAGTGATGTTGAGCATTTTTTCATATGCCTGTTGGCCATTTGCATTTCTTCTTCAGAGAAGTTTCTTTTTTGCTCTTCTGCCCATTTTTTGACTGGATTATTTTCTTTGTTGTTGTTGAGTCTCATCAGCTCTTTATAGATTTTTGTGATCAGTCCTTTATCATTAGTGTTGGGAGCAAAAATGTTCTCCCAGTCGGTGGGGTTTCTCTTTGTTTTTGTTATTGTCTCTTTTGCTGTGCAGAAGCTCTTTAGTTTGATGTAGTCCCAGCTGTTTATCTTTGCCTTCACTATCACTGCTTTGGGTGATGTGTCTGTAAAGATGTCTTTGATGTGCATATCATGTAGTGTTTTTTTTTTTTTAAAGATTTATTTATTTATTTTATACAAGCATTGGGTATATAGTCAGAAGCGCGGGAGGGTGAGAGAATTCACCAGAGCCAGAGCAGGGAGCAGAGCAGGCAGAAGGACCGAAGTACACTGCTGAGGGGAGCAGCGGGCAGCAGGAGAGGTCTGCGCACCATGTGGGACCCTCCTCCGGTGGCCGGGGAGCAGCCGGGGATCGAACCGGCGCTGCAGAGGCGGCGGGCAGCTTCGCAACCCAGCGCTTAACCGCTGCGCCACCGGGGAGGCCCTCATGTAGTGTTTTGCCTATATTTCCTTCCATATATTTTATGGTTTCAGGTCTTATGTCTAGTTCTTTAATCCATTTTGAGTTGGTTTTTGTGCATGGTGTTAGGTAGTAGTCAAGCTTCATTCTTTTGCATGTAGCAACCCAGTTTTCCCAGCACCATTTATTGAACAAACTTTCTTTGCTCCAATGCATAGTCTTTGCTCCTTTGTCAAAGATTAGTTGACCATAAATCTGTGGGTTTATTTCTGGATTTTGTATTTGATTCCATTGGTCTGTGTGTCTGTTCTTGTTCCAATACCATGCAGTTTTGATGATTATGGCTTTGTAGTATAGTTTGAAGTCTGGGAGTATGATGCTTCCATTCCCTTCTTTTTTTTTTTCAGGAGAGCTTTGGCTATTCAGGATTTCTGGTGATTCCATATAAACTTCATCAATGATTGTTCTATTTCTTTGAAGAATGACATTGAAATTTTTATTGGAATAGCATTGAATCTGTATATTGCTTTTGGTAGGATGGCCATTTTAATAATGTTTATTCTTCCAATCCATGAGCAGGGGATGTCTTTCCATTTCTTTGTGACTTCTTCTATTTCTTTTATCAGTGTTTTATAGTTTTCTTTGTATAGGTCCTCTAACTCTTTTGTTAGATTTATTCCCAAGTATTTGATTTTTTTTGTTTTGATAATAAAAGGGATGGTTTTTTGATTTCTTCTTCTTCAGATTTATTGTTTGTGTATAGGAAGGCTACTGACTTTTGCGTGTTGATTTTGTATCCTGCCACTTTACTGAACTGATTGATGAGTTGAATCAGTTTTTCTGTGGAGTTTTTGGGGTTCTCTATGTATATTATCATATCATCTGCAAATAGTGATAGTTTGACTTCTTCTTTTCCTATTTGGATTCCTTGTATGTCTTTCTCTTGTCTTATTGCTCTGGCTAGGACTTCCAGTATTATAATGAAAAGCAGTGATTAGAGTGGACATCCTTGTCTTGTTCCAGATCTTAATGGGAATGCTTTCAGCTTTTTGCCATTGAGAATGATACTGGCTGTTGGCTTGTCATTTATGGCCTTTGTGATGTTGAGGTATGTTCCTTGTATCCCAAGAATTTCAAGGGCTTTTATCATGAATGGGTGTTGCACTTTGTCGAAAGCTTTCTCGGCATCTACTGATATTATCATATGGTTTTTATATTTCTTTTTGTTGATGTGTTGGATAACATTGATTGATTTTCGGATGTTGAACCATCCTTGTGTTCCTGGAATGAAACCTACCTGGTCGTGGTGAATTATCTTATGGATACATTGTTGGATTCTGATAGCTGAAATTTTATTGAGGATTTTTGCATCAGTGTTCATTAGTCAGATTGGCCTGTAGTTTTCTTTTTTTGCGTTGTCCTTGTTCGGTTTTGGTATTAGTGTAATGTTGGCTTCATAGAACGTGTGTGGTATTATCCCTTCCTTCTCAATTTTTTGGAAGAGTTTGTGAAGGATAGGCACTAATTTGTTTCTGAACGTTTGGTAGAATTCATTTGTAAATCCATCAGGTCCTGGGCTTTTGTTTTTGGGGAGGTTTTTGATTACCATTTCAGTTTCGCTGCTTGTAATTGGTCTGTTTAGGTGTTCTATTTCTTCTTTATCTAACTTTGGGTGATTGTAGAGTTGTGGGAATTTGTCCATCTCCTCTAGATTGTTGAACTTGTTTCCATATAACTGTTCATAGTAGTTTCTGATTATTCTTTTGATTTCTGCTGTGTCTGTTGTGATTTCTCCTCTTTCATTTATGATCCTGTTTATTTGTGCTTTCTCCCTTTTTTTCCTTTGTGAGCCTGGCTAGGGGTTTGTCTATTTTATTTATGGCCCGGTCATGACTTTTTTGACAGCCCAATATTAATTTGCAGGAATTGGGAAACCTAACGATTGTAATTGCACTTCACATAAAGACTATTCTTACTTTTGTTGTTGCTTTAGGTCAGTTGATCAAATGCACACACCAACAAAAATAAATTTTAAACAAAACATGTGTTTTAAAAGTTTAGTCGTTTTACATTATATTGGTTTATTAGTCAGGGGTTTCCAGAAAAAAAAATGGTACCAACAGGAGTGAGTGTGTGTGGGGGTATGTGTGCACACAGAGAGAGAGATAGGGGAAGACAGAGATTTTAAGGAATTGACATACAGGATTGCTCACTCTGTTGTGGAAGCTTGGCAAGTCAAAAATTTGCAGGATAAATCAGCATACTGGAGACCCAGGAAAGAGGTCAAGTCCAAAGGCAGTCTGTTGACAAATGTTTTCCTGGTTGAAGAGGTTAATCTTTTTCTATTAACACCTTTAACTGTTTGGATGAGGCCCACATACATACTTTACTCAAAGGATACTGATTCATCCAAAATACCCTCACAGATACACCTAGAATAATATTTAACCAAATGTCTGGGTATTGTGGCTTAGCAAATTTGGCATATAGAGTTAACCATCACAATTGATACAATTTTGAGTTCTGTCTCCCTGATTTGGAAAGGAAAGCTTTTGCAGATTCAAACAATTATAATCATCATCATAATAATATATGCAATTAGATACCCTTATACATAAAACTAAGAAATAGATGAGTGTCTGGAAGCTTATATGTAAAACAGAGTACCTACATTAGTGAAGCTCACATTCCAAGAGGAAAGACAAAATTTAAAAAAAAACAAAAAACTGTGCATAAAGATATCAGGTATTCGTGAGATGTATGCAAAAAAGAGAAACAGAAATTGATGGTGTATTCAGAGAAAGTCCCTTAATTTTCTCTGTAAGAAGAAAGTAAATGAACAAAATAGAAAGCCAAGCAGATACCTGGACAAAAAGTATTCTGGCTTGAGAGAACTGCACAGATGCTGTGTTGCGAACATGCCTGGTTGCTCTGAGAATGGCAGAGCAGCCAGTCATGTCACTGGAGTGGAGGGAGTTCAGGGTCAAGACCAGAGGTGATGACCAGAAGCAAGCAGAATGCTGTGTGCCCTGATAATCACTGCGGTGGGGGCAGGAGGTGGGTGAAGTGGGGATGGAGGAAACAGTTTGCACCCGTAGTAATCTTTCTGTGTCTCAGATTATTTCTACCTTCACTCGTGTGAATTGACACACAGGATTGCTCACTCTGTTGTGGGAGCTTGGCAAGTCAAAAATTTGCAGGATAAATCAACATACTGGAGACCCAGGAAAGAGGTCAAGTCCAAAGGCAGTCCGTTGACAAATTTTTTCCTGGTTGAAGAGGTTAATCTTTTTCTATTAACACCTTTAACTGTTTGGATGAGGCCCACATACATACTTTACTCAAAGGATACTGATTCATCCAAAATACCCTCACAGATACACCTAGAATAATAGGTGAAGGTAGAAATAATCTGAGACACAGAGAAATTCTATGTTTTAGAATTACCTATGCTTGTATTTACATTTTGTAAGAGAGGTCAATTTTGTCTTCAGATCCCCAAATGTCTGTGATGAATTGCAAGAGCAAATTACAGAGTAGTTAAGTACTTATTTTTGTAATGTTCCTGGGATTCCTCATCCCATGTAAAGTCCTACTGGCTGTCTGTAAGATACTGTTTTGTAGTTCCAGGTCCAGCATATTGTCAATATTGTCAAGTGGATGTGAGAGGAGGTTTTTTTTTTTTTCGTTTTTTTTTTTTTTTTTTTTTTTTTAACATTTTTGACGTGCTGGGGATCTCTGGGTATTTAATTCTTTTAGTTAATTCAATTTTAACAGAATGTTACACCTTTTATAAGAGTGTTCTTCAGATGTTTTGTGTTGTGAAGTTAATCTGTGTTTTGAGGATTCTGATCTTAAATTTACTCTTAAGAAAGTTGTGTTTACATGTATGTGATTTTTTTTTCCCTTGTGACTTGGAATAGTCTATAAATCTCAGGATGCAGCTGAGGATTGTAGGTTCCAGCATCTGCTGTCATCAGAAGGTATTCATGATCTCCCCTAGTGGGTGAGGCCAAATTTCTAAACATGTTACTTTTTCCAAGTACATTTGCTGAATAGTGGGTTTAGTTCTTCTTGGAACTTATAAAGTTACCTCATGGAATGGAAAAAGAAGTTTTTGCCAACAATTGGAACATATACTTGACTCTGTAACTATATTCAGCCAAACTATGTTCAGATGTTTGTACATGATGTGCTAATCCTGTGCCCATTCTGTTATGGAGTGGCTTTGGTTAGTAATATTAGCATGTGCTATGCCTGAGCAAGGCAGATATTTCACTTTGCATTGAAGCCCCAAATTATTGGGGTTAAAGTAAATTTTGATCTGATGGATGGCAAATTACTATTTTTTTCTGGATGTCTAGATCCTTACCTTTTATTTACTTTTTTGGTTTTATTTGTGTTATATATATTTTGGTATTTAAATGTTTATTATGTATGGACTATCTTACAAAAATTTTAGCATATCAGTATTTTGCACTTCAGTTTTTACTGTATATTGACTATTTTATGAGATCCCATAAAGAATTTTAAAGATTTTAATGTGAATCGTAGGAAACTATTATAAAAAGTCTACTAATACCTTAGTGGAAATTTGAAAATGTTATATAGTAGGAGTTAACTCTAGGATCTTTGTTAGGGACCAAATAAAGTATTTGGTCTTCTCATTTCACTCAATATATGCTATAGTCAGTAATGATAGAAAAATCAACTGCCATTTTTGTCAAAGAAGTTCTGCACTGTATCCTTACCTCACATCCCTAATTTTATGACTTCTAATGGTCTGTTGTTTTGTTTAGAAAACAGCAAGGCTCGAAGTAATGATTTTGCTGAAAAGAATGGACTTCAGAAATATGAGTATGTCTTACACCCAAGAACAACAGGCTTTACTTTTGTCGTAGACCGTCTAAGAGAAGGTAAGCACCCATCTCAAAGTGTGTTTTTTATGTAGGTGACAAACATTGCTAAACTTTGTATATATCCTTTTAGAAATGACAAAGCACTTTTTAAATATTTTTTCCTCAAGGAATGAGTTACTACATTTTTTAACTAAATCGACCCATGGCATTAGATTGTTTTAATATACATTTTTTGAAAATGTTTGTAAAGTCAGATCTTTCCCCTTTTTGTCATAGTGGAATTGTGTGCATCATTTTCTATCATTTTATGTTTAAATGTTTCTTAAAGCAGCAAAACTGTCTTGAAAGTGTCTTGTCACTTACAGTTATGTATAGCTTAAAAATATTTTTACATTCATTATTCCACTCTAACAAATGAGTCTCGTTGGTAGGAAGACAAGTGCTGCTACCTCCATTTAACAGTTGACATAGATCAGGGATAGAACCTCATTATTCTTAGCTCATGGCTCATCCTCCTGCCTCATACTTCTCCCAAACTCTACCCAGTGAAGGACAAGTGGGGACAAGGTGATTTGATGGATGACATCACACCCACTTAAATGTTTGTGTTGATATTTTTGTTACGTAAAATTAAAGTTTGCATTTTATTGTAGCTGCATGGTTGTGTTTCTATATCCATAAACGAGTATACAAATTACACATATGACTATAATGTGGAAAAGGAAATATCCAGAAAGTGTTAAAGTGTTCAAAACTCAGTCACCTAGCTGAAGACAAATCCTGTGTGCGTGTTTCTGCTCTCCACTCTGATTCTTAGCAAGCCCTAGTGGGTAATCATGACATCTGTGACAAATTATCACCTTCATCTAGTATTGCTGCATTGTCATAAAAACCATTTGTGCCTAACTTGAAAAGTCTGAAAACATTATGTAAGAAATGGTGTGGCATTCTACTTTCTTCCTGTAAATGGCAACACTGTTGTTCCTTAAGGTTTAACAGGCCTTAAAGCATAAAGGATAACCTCAGATAATGAACCCTGCCCAGAGGAAGCATCTTTTTAACTAAGTGCTCGTGGTTTTAAAGAAAGTACAGTCAATCCAAAATCATCTTAGTATATAGTAAAATGTCCTTATTAGTCCTTGTTAGTTTGGTTTGCTTTTGGAATTCTGTGACTATAAGTAATAGGAAATGGGCTTGTGGGCTTGAAGGTTATAGTATTTATGGATAGTGTTTATTTGCCCATGTAGCTCATGGGAAATGCAGTTCTTCATGCCTATGGAATAGGGTAGGGAGGCCCTGAGACTCTGAAGTATGTTTTTTTTTTTTTAATGTGATACCACTTTACTATGGTATGTAATGTAGACTCACCCTTTTCACTCAACAGTATGTTTTCTATTTCCTCACATAATCTGATATTTCATAGTATTTAATGTCTTTAAAGATATTTTTGACACACATTCATGTACTGCATTTCTGTCAACACAAGTATCCTGTTGGAACACATTTTTTGCTAATAAAGATCTTCTGAAGTGTAGGCAGGATAATGGAGATCATTTTTTTTTTTAAAGATTTATTTATTTATTCATACAAGAACTAGGATACAGGCCAAAGGTGCAAGGGATGAGAGGATTCACCAGAGACAGAGTGGGGATCAGAACAGGCAGATTGACTGAAATACACAGCTGAGGGGAGCAGCGGGTGAGTCAGGAGAGGTCTACTGCACCATGTGGGTAGCTCCCTGGCTGGGATTGAACTCACGCTGCAGTGGCTGCTGATAGCTTCATAGGTTGTGTCTTAATCCCTTGGGCCACCAGGGATGCCAATGGAGATAATTTTATAGTAGGTAAAATTATATCTGTAAAGTTCTCTGTTCTGAGATCTGGAAAATAGCAAACTACTTTATCACTGGGGAATGTATATTACTTAATTATCACTCAAAGTATTAGGCAACATCCACAGCCTGTAACTGACTGCCAGAGCTGGTAACTGACTTTCTCCCCATCAGTATCAGTGAAAAAGGAAAACACAGTTGGCTTATTCCATTTGCTTCAGTTAGTCAAGTAGAATGGGCTTATACATTATAATAAGAAACATGATGAAAATAGTCATAATAGTAAAAGGTGCTGACACTGAGCATTTGCTAAGTACCAGGTGCTATAGTAAGTGTTTTATATGCATAAGGGTAAATAATCCTTACAACAACCCTACCTGCTAGGTACCACTATTAATATTTAACCCACAGAGCAAATTGAAGCAGAAATTGAGGTAAGTAAGCACATGGAAATTACTGGGATATCATTTGTCTGACTGAATACCCATATTGTTTACATTACAGCTTGGTGCCTTTTGAATTTATAGAATGATTTTAAAGTCCCAAAATCATAAAGCACCTTTGTAACAGTAGTGAGCAGCATAGTTTTCTTCAAAAAATATTTTTTAAAAAGAGTAAGAGGCTAAGAGATGGTGGTCCCGGGAAGGTAGTTATGATGCTGCCTGAGATGGCACTGGGATTTGCACAGCCGAAGGAGTGTGAACTGAAGGGGCCAGGGCAGCTTGGCTTTCGGTAAGGGTAGGGGATGTCAAGTGAATAGAAAGAGAACACTTCATCAGGGATCTAGTGAAGGGGACCCAGAAGTCATCTCGTCCAGAGTGCCCTTTTAGAAAAGGAATCTAAGACTCAGGAAGGGCACAACACAACTCTGATCTTTAGACCCCTAAGTTCAATCTTTGATAATGAATTATGTGGAAAAGAAGCTTTCTATTAAAAAAAAAAAGACCACTGTAAATATTCCAATGGATTCCTGGAGGGCAAATTAGAACAAATTGCCATAGAAGTATGGCCAAGTTACACCACTGTAGGGTAAGTAAAGTATCAAGCTTTTCCGCCTTCCTGCCATTAGATTAAATGCATGCCTGATGGCGGACATCTGGAGTAGGGTGTGGGCATACATACACTGGGTTTATACGGGCGGCGTCAGAGGAAGACAGAGGCCACAAGAGAACACCGGAGAGCCCAGAAAGAGTGAAGACTCGCCGGGGGCTCGAAGGTCTGCCAGCCTCCCGGCCCCCGGGCACCCCTGCCTACTGTGTACCTGGTACAATCCCAATAAAAGCCTGCAGAAGCCACCAAGGGCTCCAGGACCTCTCCTTTACCCTGGTCTGCTCGGGTCATAGAGATCCTGCTCTGTGTCATTCCTGGCACTACAACCGCTCACACATACGTGTAAGTGAACTCACTGTTGCTGTAGTCCGTTAGGCAGCGTGCACAGAGGAGAAGTGCGGACATCACTAAGTTAAGGGTAAATGTATTGAAAAACTAAATAATGCATAACAAGGAAAGTAGTTTCTGTGTTTCTTTTAGAATATATTTCACTGAGATTTAGAACATTTAGAACACACATTTATCCTGAAACATGACACTTAGCATCTTTTCAGTGTATTGTATATGTTGCACTGTTTGTTCCCTGGGAGTGTATGTATGCTAAAGGGTTACAGTCTATAAAGTATATAGCTGAGCAGGCAACTAGGTTAAACCAATATTTGTTATTTTATGTCAAGCCTCAGTCTTTAAATTCAAAGTTAAAAACAGTGTATTTCATTCCATATTTAGCTCATATGCCTAAACATGAAGGAATGAACTTGTCTTCCTGTTAATATAATGGTTCCATATAAATTTTGTAATCATGGAACAAAAAACAACTGTTAGTTGTATTCATTGGGCTTTTTTTGGGGTGGGGGGGTGGGGGGGGTGGGGATTTTTGTCAGGAAGAAAAATCACAAATTCCGATTTTTTAATATTAAATTTTTATTGAGGTATGGCTTGCAACAACGTATATTTTAGGGGTTATAGGTTCATACTACCCCCATGGCATTAAGTCATGGGGCTCCCTCTTCCTTTTGGGCTCTACACCCCTACTCATTGTTGTAGACAGTCAAAGAAAGTTCATGAAAATACTTTCTGGAAATGTGATTGTGTTTCCCAAACTAGGCCTAACATTAAGTATTTAAAAAATTGTAAATCGCATAATAGCCTGAAAGTAGAAGTGAAGGGTTAGTGAAATGTGTTAATGGGTACAGGTGGTCTTAAACAGCTTGTTTTCAGGTCCTGCCCATCTTACTCATTCCTGTTTCAAGCTCCTTAAGAGGTATTTTGAAACACCTTAAGTTGGAGGCCTCCCCGGTGGCCTAGGGGTTTAAGGCTCAGTACTACCAATGCTAATGGCCTGAGTTCGAGCCCCGGCCAGGGAGCCTGACACAGGTTATGGTGCAGCAGATCCATATTTCATCTGCTGCGCCGCTCTGGTGTGCGTGTGTGCGTGGGAGAGAGAGTGTGTGTATGTGTGGGAGAGAGAGTGTGTGTATGTGTGGGAGAGTGAGTGTGTAGAGTGGGGTCTTCAACATGAAACGAAACAAAAGCTTTAATAACTACAAATAAAGATTTGGAAATAGGACTGGTAGAAAACCAAGTGATGGTTTTACAAGACCCTAAAACTTGTAAGAAAAAAAGGAACATGACCAAATCTGAGCAGTGTTAATCACAAGGAGAAAAATGAATTCTCATCAGCATGCCTGATCAAAACTCTTCAGTCTATTTTCAGAGAGAGAGAACCACTACTGATCAACACCTAAGACTGATAGCGTTTTCATCTGCCCTGAGAACATTAGCAGTTACCTGGGGAAGTAAAAGTTTCTCAATTATACCCACCTTGCTTTATCAATGGTGTTGTTAGACCTTTGTGTTTGATTTGGGGCTCTATTTTTCCTACATAGTGCACAACCAACAACTGATAATCCAGTCTGTTTCTGGCTTACAGTACCCATGTGGCCAACAGGAGCCACCACTCTCTGCAGTTCACATTGCATTTATCTTAGTTGGCGAGCCTGCCCCAGAATTGCCTTTTGATGATTGTTTCTAAATCACCAGTATTGTTCTAGAAGGCCAGGAAGAAAGGCAGACAAACTATTGAAATATTGGGTGTATTATATGCCATGCACTCTGACCTTTCATGTGACTTTTTATTGCTGGAATCTATTTATGAAATAGGATAAGACCTTTC